AGGCCAGCCTGGTCTACAGAGCTAGTTCCAGGACAGCCTCCAAAACAATAGAGAAACCCTGTCTCGAAAAACCAAAAAAAGAAAAAAGAAAAAGGAAAAGAGAGTTATGGATGTTCCTCTGATCTAACTTTTGTACTTTTTATATTACTATTACTCTTATAATAGAAAATATAAAATAAAATTATTTAAAGAAACATCCATTCCTTGTATAGCATCTTTGGTTTTAGGTAACCTTTACTTTTTCTAAATAGGGAGACCAAGACTGCCCACAGTCTCACAAGGTCAAACATAACATCAAAAACACTTCATCTCGTTAGTGGTTACTGCTATGCATACAACCTTTAGAAAAGCCACTTTACTAAAACAAGCATGACCTGTAAATACAAACTAGTCAAGAGTAACTAATAGGGGCATCACAAACAAGAGGCCAAGTTGAGAAAAACTGAAATTGATGGCAGGACTCCTCTTCCTAGTCAGTTTTCAGTAAGGACCTTGAATGTGCAAAGTAGTCAGGAGTATCTCAGGATAGGATATTTTATCTCCTCAGTCTTTGGTGATACCAGGTTGGAGACTGTGGACAGACAGAACTAGGCAGTAGCCTCATATGGTACACCTCCAGCATTCTCTAGTGACACAGCTACTATTTCTACTCTTCATGAAACACCAAAGTCCAGGAAGCACTAGGGTAAGCTACACCTTCTGGATCATTGGTCAAAAGGTAGATAAAAGTATAAGGCAACACAACAAAGGCATTTCTTAGAAATGCCTATCTGAGGCTGGGTGTGGCAGCAGGTCCATAATCCTGGCATTCAGGAAATGACTGATTCAGGAAGACAAGAGTTCAAGACTAGTTGGGTGATACAGTAAGTACTAAGATAGCATGACCTTCATAGTGGTAAGTATCCTGTCTCAAAAATACAAAAAAAAAGTAAGATAATTTGGAAAAAATAATTACTTCCAAAACCTACATTATAAGGTTATAGGATTTTCTTCTTTAAAAACACAAATAAGGGGCTGGAGAGATGGCTCAGAGATTAAGAGCACTGGCTATTCTTCCAGAGGTCCTGAGTTCAATTCCCAGCAACCACAAGGTGGCTCACAACCATCTGGTGCCTTCTAGAACAAGGTATACCTAATAAATAAAACCTCTACAAAACAAAACAAACAAAAACCAGAGTCCCATTCTGCAGCCCTGCCTGGCATTCACTGTGTAGACTAACTAGGTTGGCCCCAAACTCACAGAAATACACAGTCTCCTGTGTGTCACCACACTTAGGCCTAGGAAAGCCTTTTCTTCTTTCTTTTTTTAAAATTATTTATTTAGGGTGGAGGGGGCATATGTATGACAGCAAGAGCATGGAGGTCAAAAGGCAACTTTGTGGAGTAGGTTTCCTCCTTCCACCTTTATGGGGTTCCAGGATTTTGAAGCAACCACCTCTACCTGCTGTGCCATTTTACCAACCCCCACTTAGGAAGCCTTAAGTATCATCCCAATGTCACTCAATCAGGTAAACTCCAAATACAAACATCAGCTCAAGAGTGAAATGGGGTGGGGTGCTCAGGAGGAACACAATCTAGATTCTTTGTCCGGGTGCTAAATACATTCAAGGTAAATCTGAAATAAGTTTCACTTGTTAAGAACAAAAGAGAGGCTATGGAGTACCATTTGAAAACTTTCATAGAACAGATACTTAAGAGTTGTATAAAAAAGATCAACTGCTAAATGATGAAAAACCAAAACCCAAATTATCTGTCAAGTTCATAGCAACTAAACTGGGCTCCCAAGTCCACATTCCAGGAAACCACCATTAAATTCTCTATAACTGCTTGTCTTAATCTCTCTAAAACTATAAAACAATGTCCAAGTACCTCCTGTTCTTCAGGCAAGCGGGATCCCTGGTTAATCTGCAACTGGCAAATCTTTGTTTCAGGAAGCACAATTTAGCATTCTGTGAACCAATCAATCTTCCATGTATGGAACTTATGATTCCTTATTAATTAGTTATTGGCTGTATTTATGAAATATTAAGGGAGCTTTTTTGCTTTTCTGTAGAATAGACAACATCTTTAAAAGGTTCTTTTAAAAGATCAAGTATTTTTAAAAATTATTATTAGTGTGTTTGTGCACACAAAATCCTGAAGTGAAAGGACAACCTGTGAGAAGTCAGTTCTACTCCTCTGTGGGACTCAGGTCATCAGGCTTGGTGGCAAGCTCCTTTACAATCCAACATCAAGTTCTTTATGTAGTTGTATAAGTAAGCCACGAATGAATAGATCTGTACTCTGTAAAAATGATGACCGAGAAACAGAATTTCCTTCTACTTCCTTCCGTGGACTGAGAAAACCTTTGGACAACAGGAGTCTCTAATCAGAAAGACAACATGAAGCTGGTGAGGAAGTAGTATAGAGGATGCCTGAAAATAGCCCTGACTGAATAAGGAAGAGGAAGAAGGCAATACACATTTGAAGAGGAGGAGGATGCATGTGCATAAACTGTTTGTAAACGTAACTCTGTTTTTACTTTGTTTTTGAGACAGGGTCTCTGTGTATCCTTGGCTGTAGTGGAACTTGCTAATGTAGACCAGGCTGGCCTCGAATTCAGAGATCCTCCTGCCTCTGCCTCCTGAGGGCTGGGACTAAAGGTGTGCACTACCACATCCAGCTGTGTCTCTATTTGAAATTGTGAAATGCCAATAGTTAAAGGAGAAGCGTTAAGGAAATCATAACTTTTGTAGGCACATGTAGAAATAAACAGCAAAACTGAATTATTAACAATCTTCCTAGAAATTTCAGCAAGAAAAACCCTAAAAGTCTCTTCTAACAAGTGATGCAACAGTTTAGTGACATCAGAACATGCAAATGGAGCCTTTCAGAAAGGATAATAATTCTTTGAGAGAGGATTTCTCAACTTTGATTGGTGTTCTACTTGTAAATTTATTGTTGAGGGGGGACAGAATCACTAGAAGAAGAAACAGTGGTTCCCAAACTGTTCCCAGGGAACTCCATATCTAGACCACTTATTAAAGAAGCACAGACAAGCGGGGGGTTGGGGGGGGTGGGGTGGGGGTGGGGTGTCGCACACCTTTAATCCCAGCACTCTGGAGGCAGAGGCAGGCGGATCTCTGTGAGTTCGAGTCCAGGCTGGACCGACAGCCTCCAAAACAATACAGAGAAACCCTGTCTCATTAAAAAAAAAAAAAAAAAAGAAACACAGACAAGTCTTCTTTCCCCCATTCTCTGCCTTCCTTCTTCATGTCCAAACTGGCAAGTAAAATGGTTCAAGATGCTAAGAAACAGGCTGGGTGTGGAGGTATAGTAGTCTTTAATCCTAGCACTAGGGAAGCTGAGGCAGACAAAGCTCTGTGAATTCAAAGTTGGCCTGGTCTACAATTTGAGACCCTTAAAATAAATCAATAGACAGACAGACAAAAAACCCAACCCAACTCAGAAACACTGCAGACCCATAAATATTTGTGTTCTTACTGTATTAGCAGGCTTGGGAAGTAGAAAAAAAAAAGTCCTCAAGGAATTCCAAACAATACAACTTGACAGCATAAATGGTAATTCACAACCCAAGGACAGTACTGAGCAAGGGGGGAAAGACCACAGAATGGGACATGTCCTCATAAATGATCACCTACTTTTTTTTTTTTTTTTTTTTTGGTTTTACGAGACAGGGTTTCTCTGTATTGTTTTGGAAGCTGTCGGTCCAGCCTGGTCTCGAACTCACAGAGATCCGCCTGTCTCTGCCTCCCGAGTGCTGGGATTAAAGGCATGCGCCACCACCGCCCGGCAATGATCACCTACTTTTGCAGTAGCCTAGTTGGTTTCCTGCCTACAAACCCTTTTCTTTTCTATCTGTTCTGCATTGCATTATCAGATTCCTAGCTACAATTCCACTTACAAGGAATTTCTCAACGACTTTCACAGACTCTCAACTCCCTATCGCATTAGGTTTAAACTCTTCTTCAACATTTAGTCTGGTCAACGGTTTCACACATCCTTTTTGGAGGGAGAAGGACCCAAGCCTAACCCAACTACTTATTCTCCAACTGAAATGCAATCCCTCTATCGTCAGAGAAGAGTCACTAGCTCTCATGACATCCTTTTAGCATCAGCTTCCCCAGCAAATGGCATGCGCATCCCAAGGTGTTTTCGGAATTGCCATTCCAAAAGCTGTTCCTATTCCCACCGGCCCTTTGGTGATAAGTTCGGACACTGGAGTCCTTGTAGGGAAGGGAGAGAGGGTTGGACAGTTTCAAGCTACAGAAGAAAAAAACTGAAGGAGGGAAAAGGGAAATGGTCTGTGCTCTGTACGTTCGTTCTGCCCTTTCTTTGGGAAGAGTGGAGAAGGGACAGGAGACCTCAAGAAACGAACTCCTGAGGAAGACCAGGAAAAAAATCCGTGGTGCTCTCGAGGTAGGTCATATCGGGTAGGGGTCCTGGATGAAGGAAAAGAAGCGTCATCCTAGCGAGAAGGGACTGGTTAAAAACAACGCGAAACAAAGGGGTTGGCAGCCGCAAAGTGAGAGGCTGGAATACGAGAGATCCGGGAATGTCCGGAGGGCGAACCGCAAGAAATCGAAAGGGGGACACGACACGTCCCTCCGAGGACCCGCCGGGGACGCGGTTGCTAAGAAGGACAAGACAGGTGCGGATGAAGGCAGAGGAGCCGGCGACTCTCCGGCTTCGTTTCTAAAGGGCGCGGGGGCGGGGAAGAGTTTTTCAGCGGGGTCGTGTGCCCCCAGCGAGACACGGTTCCCAGGGCAGTGCTCTCCAAGAACGGAGATGCGGGCCACGCGAAAACCGTTGAGGCACCGGCATTTCCCAGCCCCAGCCTGGCTTCCCCACACACTCACCGCGTCTGCTCCAAACGCCACCGCTCCAGCTGCAGCTACCGGCCGGCGCAGCCGCACTGAGCGCGCACCGCCCACGTGACCCGCAGGCTGTCCGCCCACGTCACCAGCAGAGCCCGCCCCGCCCCTCCCTGGGGTGGCTCTCCTGCGAGTGGTGCTGTCTGACCCCGCCCTCGGCAAGATGGCGGCGCCCAGGTTGGGTACGCCTGGTCTCCGGGTTCTAGGGAGCAAGTGGCACCCCGGGAGATTCTTCACTCCTGGATCCGAGCCCTTTTGTTCCAGCGCTGCCACCTCTAAGTCTCTGAATGCTCAGAGATTGGCGGAGAAGCTCCGAGCCCAGAAAAAAGAGCAAAAGACGAAGAAAATACCGGTGAGCCCGGAAAGACCACAACGCTCAAGAGGCAATGCTCTCTCGGCTTTCCCTTGTGTGGGCACTGGGCAGTTTCTGTAATAGCAAGTAAGCCAGTGTTGAGGATATACAGTGTGATAGTTGGAATACCTCTGAGAGAAAAGGACAGTACTGGCACAGTGTCTTTGTGGGCACTTTTGCTACTGCCAGGCTCAGACCCAAACACCGCGTGGGTGTGTAGGTGCGATAAATACCTGTGTGTGGTCCCTAAGGAAGGCATGAGTCTAATTCTACAACACAGCCATTCCTCGCACGAATTTTCACCTGCATCTCACTTAAGGACACCCCCAACGCTTCACTTCCTCATTAAGCTTTCGCCACCCTTTTTCCTCTTAGGTCCCTACAAACCCTGTTCAGCGGAGGGTGCAGGAACTAGTGCGATTCACCCAGCAGCTACAGAGAGTTCACCCCAATGTGCTTGCTAAGGAACTGAGCCGAGGGATTCTCCACCAGGACAAGGACCTTGTGGTCATTAATAAACCGTACGGTCTCCCTGTCCACGGTAAGAACCACGAGGGGAAGGGAAAGAAACGTGCTGCTGCTTCCTTCTACAACTAGGGGCACATCTGAAGCCTTATATGTGAGGCGCTCTTGAATTCAAGTTAACCCTTTGTGTGGTATACCGCTACGATTGTATGTATATGATTACTGGTAAGACAAACCAGTGTCTAGTTCCCACTTCCAAATATCTTGACAGTGGGCTATAAACAGCCTCCCACAGGAATTATTGCAGAGAAATACAAAAGCTGAATTCTGACTGTGGGCTGTGTGCAACCTCCCACACAGATTGTTGCAGAGAAATACAAAAAGCTGTGTGCTGACTGTCTAATGGTTATTTTCCATGAAAACGGGGGAAAGGGCTGGGTGTCTGTATGCAACTGTCATCCAAGGTTTAGGAGGGGCAGAGACAGGAGGATCAGGTATTCAGGCCAGTCTCAGCAACCTCAAAACCTCATTTCAAAATAAAAGAGGTAGAGGAAAAAATAAAAAAAAAAAACTGGGAAAGAGGAAATGAAGAGGGGTGGGGGAGGGACACCCCAAAGTGTCTGGAAATTAATGGATGGCCTGATTCTGCTGAATGTAGTAAAAGGAGGCAACTGAAGTGAATCAGAATTGGGGAAAAAAGAAAAGAAAAAGGACTTGCAAGGAGAAATAAATATTTTAGCTGAAGTATTTTAGATGGAGCAAATAGCTCCTTTGGTGGCAGTACAGAGAAATAAAGCAGGCATTGTCAAATGTGTTCTGTGATTTCTTTTTTTCCCTCTTGATTTCCTAACAGGTTCTTCTCTTACTATTTTTGGTTACTGGGGTTAATCTTTTTTATTTTTTTTAGATATTTATATATGTTTTTACGTAACAAAGAGTTGGAGAGAGTGATCTATCTCAGACCAAATGGAGAGTAAAATCTAGAGATGTCTGATCTCAGAGCCCCTCAGCTTAATCTATCTTCTTTTTTTTTTTAAGATTTTATTTATTTATTTATTTTACGTATGAGTGCTCTATCTTCATGTATGCCTTTATGCCAGAAGAGGGCATTAGATCTCACTATAGATGGTTGTGAGCCACTATGTAGTTGCTGGGAATTGAACTCAGGACCTCTGGAAGAACAGCCAGTGCTCTTAACCTCTGAGCCATCTCTCCAGCCCTTAATCTATCTCCTTTAATGTCTCAGAGCTTCTCAGTCTCACAAAATCGAAAGAGAAAGCCACAGTATTTCCCAGACACTAGTTACTAGTGAGTTCTGGGGATGTTTGATAAACTATGAGTTCTGATTTAGTAGTCTGCACTGGGGCCTGCGGTTCATTTCATAGCTAGTGAGATCTCTGGGCCTATTAATATTAGTAATCCCTGCCATATGTTCGTAGCACAACTACAGGAAATAGGGACAGTTTAGGCAATAAGGATTATTCTCTCAAGAGTTCCTCAGTGGCTGGGCAGTGGTGGTGGCGGCGGCAGCGGAGCACACCTTTAATCCCAGCACTGAGGAGGCAGAGGCATTGGATCTCTGTGAGTTTGAGCCCAGCCTGGTCTACAGAGCAAGTTCCAGGACAGCCTCCAAAACAATACAGAGAAACCGTGTCTCGAAGAACCAATCAAAACAGAGTTCTTCAGTGAAAACTCTCCCTCTGGCTCTTTGCTTCATAGGTGGCCCCGGAGTCCAGCTCTGCATCAGTGATGTACTGCCCACCCTGGCAAAGATGCTCCGTGGCCACAAGGCAGAGCCTTTGCATCTGTGCCACCGTCTGGACAAAGAAACCACGGGTGTCATGGTGTTGGCTTGGGAGAAGGATATGGCACACCAAGTCCAGGAGTTGTTTAGAACCCGCCAGGTGGAAAAGAAATACTGGTATGCGGCCTCCTAGTGGCGGTAGAGGGGGGAATAAATGAAGGCCTATCTTCTCTCTGTCCATTATACAGGAACTGTTGTGCTAGGACTCACCAGTTTATAAAGAGTCTGTGAAATGGCTTAAATCCGTAGAATAATGAGTGATAAAGTTGTGGTTCCTGTGTGTCTGTGTACACTCGTGTGTACATGTAGAAGTCAGAACACGGTGACAGACTTCTTTATCATACCTTATTGACATAGGGTGTCTCACTGAACCTGGAACTCACTGATTGGTTAGACTAGCCGAAAAGCTAGCCCCCAGACTCTGCCTGTTTCTGCCCCCCCTGAGCACTGGGGTTACAGGTGGGCACTGCTATCCTTGGGGTTAGCATGGCTGCCAGGATTCCAAGCTCATCGTTATACACGTGCAGCCAGTGTAGCCATCTCCTTGATCCCGTGTGTTTGTTTGCTTGGTTTTGTTTGATATGTTTTGAGACAAAGTCTTACTTTGTAATGTCGTGTTATATAGACCAAGATGACCTTGAACTCATGCTATACCTGCTTCTGTTTTCCACACGCTGGGTAGAAAGGCCTGCACCACTATGCCCAGTGTTGCTGTTTTTTTAAATATTTGTGTTCCTGTTTGTTTGTACACTTTTGGCCATATGCTTGCCAGCACACATGTGCAGAGGTTAGAGCACAACTTGGAATCAGTTCGCTCCTTCCATTATGTGGGTGCCAGGGTCAAACTGAGATTGTCAGTTAGCAGCAAGCATCTTTATCTGCTGATTTGTTTCTTGAGACAGGGTCTTATGTAGCCCAGGCTAACCTTGAACTCATGATCCTCCTGCTTTTCTGAGTGTTGGGATCACAGGTATACATAATCACACCCTGTTCCATAGTAGTGTTTTTAGAGTATATTCCTTGTAACCCTGTCTCATAAAACCAAAAAGAAAAAAAAAACAAAGGAAACAAAAAACAAAGAGAAAATTGATGTGGAACCTAGAGAAATGACTCAGGGCTTAAGATCATTTGCTGCTCTTTGAGATGACCTGAATTTGGACCCCAGTACCCACAACTGGTAGTTCACAACCACTTGTAACCTGAGCTTCAGGAGATCCATCACCTGCCTCCCTGGGCATCTGCATTCGTATGACAGATACAGACATAGAGAAATAAAAATATATTTTGTTTTTGAGAATCTCTATGTGTATGATCCACCCACAGTGGTTCTCATTCATGTCTAGTGGCTATGGGTTTGGCATCTGTGTCATTTAAAGTTTTCAAAAGCTAGTGATAGAGCTAGGGCATCTAGTATGCACGAAGCCCTGAGTTTGGTCCTTGTACTATAAAATATAGCAAGGTCCATAAATAATTAGAATATATAATCAAATTTAAGAGCTACTAGAATAGTTGGAGATGGTCTCATATGAGTTTCATGTTGTAGTGCCTAGCCTGAAAGCTAGATACTTCTAAGCTAAAGTCTTCTTAACCACTGAGCCATCTCTCCAGCCCCATACGCTAAAGTCTTCTAAGCTAAAGTTGAGTATATTGATTGTAGAATACTTTGGGAAAAAAATTAGATGATCTTTCATATATGTGTGCTATTTAAAAACAGATAATAGGGTTTTGTATCTCATTCCTCTTTTGATTATATAGTAGCATTGGGGAGGTTGCACGGGCAGGTGGATAGGTGGGGAGATTGGCAGGATCAGGATGTATGATGTGAAAAACCACAAAGAATCAATAAAAATTAATAAAATAAATAAGTAGTGAGTTCCAATCACATACTAAGTGAACAAACATGTGACTGAGTGGCAGAATGAATATACTAAAAACTCACAGGACTGTCCCTACCTATTTGTTAGTCAAAGAAGTCATGAAATCACAGACATACTTCATAGACACATAGATAAGAAGCTATAGAAATGGTAGTAAAGATGGCCTATTGTGAGGTCTGAAGCCCCCAACTCCCAGCAGCTCCTGTGATTTTTGTGTGTGTCACCCCCAGGGCCATCACCGTGCGTGTCCCGGTGCCCTCGGCAGGAGTGGTTGACATCCCCATCGTGGAGAAGGAGGTACAAGGCCAGCAGCAACACCACAAGGTAGGTGAGCTGCCTCTCTGGGGCATGGGTCTCTGTCTTTTCCTGGGAATCATATCTTGATTTCTCTGACTTCAGATGACGCTGTCCCCAAGTTACCGTGAGGACCACGGGAAAATGGTAAAGGTGCGGGCCAACAGGAGTGCCCATGTTGCTGTAACTCAGTACCAGGTGCTCAGCAGCACTCCGTCCTCCGCCCTCGTGGAGCTGCAGCCTGTTACTGGTAAGGACGCCAGGGCCTTGTGCTGGATTCGCCCCTTATTCTGAGCCACTGTTGGTGTCACAGGCTGTGGACAGCACAGGTGATCTGTGTGACCCTTAGCTTTGGGGGCCGATCCAAAACTAGGGTCTCCGTGGGAGAAAAAGAATAGATGAAATAATACGCCTTGTGTCCTACACTGCCTGGAACTTGTGATCCTCCTGCCTCAGTCTCCCAAGTGCTGGAATTATAGGCACATGCCACTGTGCCCAGCTTCAGGAGAACACAGCTTAAATAGCTCTATTTTAAAACATACACAGCATTTCTTTAAAAAAAATTACCTTTGATTTAGCAATTCTATTCTTTACTTAAAAAAAAATACTAAGGGCAGACATTTGGATCCCTCTGTTCATAGCAGTAACCCAGGATGGATGAATGGAGAAATAACATGGGATGGGTATTTGTATACAGAAGAATATTTTTGTTTGTTTGTTTGTTTGAGACAGGGTTTCTCTGTATTGCTTTGCATACTGTCCTGGAACTTGATCTGGAGACCAGGGTGGCCTTGAACTCACAGAGATCCATCTGCCTCTGCCTCCCAAGTGTTAGGATTAAAGGCGTGTGCCACAAGAATATTATTTTTAGCTATGTGTCACATGGATGAACCTTGGAAACATTATGCTAAATAAAGTAACCTAGATATAAAGGATACATTCTGTATGAATTATCTCACATGATGTACTTAGAGTAGTTGGATTCATAGAGAGAATAGAACAATGCTTGCCAAAAACTAGTGGCTAGGGAAGCCAGAGGGGAGGAATGGGCAGCCAGTGTTTCAGCTGGTGAGTTTTAGTTTGAGAGGATAGGAAATTTCTAAAGATGGACAACGTTGATGGTTACAAAACAATGTAATGTAACTAGTGCTGCTTAACTATATACTTAAAGTGACTCAAGTGGTATACATACATACATACATATATACATACATACATACATGCATACATGGGGCTGAGGATTTAGCTCAGTAGTTGAGTACTTGCTTGGCATACACAAGTATGTTCAATCCCCAGTACTACAAGAAAGAAATGTACAAAATAAATAGCGTACCACTGCCCCGTCCGCTGCGTAGCCTGTGTCCGAGAATGTGGCAAGGGTGTCAGGGATTGATGACACAGACCCGAAGGCTCCTCAAGAAAGCTCTCCTTTATTCCTACTCTGGCTGGTTATTATATACCCTGACACCAGAGGTGGCGATGGGTGGGTCTGAGGATGCGGTTAGTCTTTGGAAAAGGTTGAGGACCTTTTCAGGAACGTATTGCCCCAGGCATTGTATTGTTTTTAGTAAACATGTTTTTAGTAAACATTGTCTTACAAATGTCTACTCCCAGGCAGAAGGGGAAGTGGGTCTCTGAACAAGGTCTGGTGTTCCCACAATTCCCCCTTTTTTATTTTCTAATGAGGCACTCCTGGCTTAGGTCAAGTAGGGTCACCCTCCCTTGCCCGTCTTCGGGGGACCTTGAACCCCTGTCTTAGGTGGGAAGAGTCTTCCCCACAGGTTGCCCGTCAATGGAAGAACCTCATCCTTAAATCATCTGTAACCAAACTTCATGGCTATCGGGGTTGCCATGGGCTAAGCTAAGCAATACTTGGTTATGGATCTCTTGCCTCTGGAACAAGGCACGTTTGAGCTTGGCATAAAGCCAGAAGGCCTGGAGATTTAATTCAATCCACCCCCCAACTGAGGGCAATTTAGCTCATTAGTTGAGTACTTGCTTGGCATACACAAGTGTGTTCAATCCCCAGTACTACAAAAAAGAAAAAAAAGAAAGAAATGTACAAAATAAATAGTTTACCACTATATAGTAAAATTATAAAAAGTTAGGGTAATTGTAGACATAAAGGCCATAATAATGGCTGTCCAGAGTATGTATGTTTATTTCCTAAGCTGGCTGGTACTGCTTAGCTTATAGTTTTCTCCATTATTCTTTACTGCATTTGGTGCTGCCAGTTTACTGTGCTTTGATTTAATATGATTTGAAGAAGATTTCAGCAGTAGCATCATTTCTATTGCTCCTCATAAGTGTTTCTTTCCTTTTTCTCCTAAGGAATAAAACATCAGCTTCGAGTTCACCTGTCTTTTGGGTTGGATTGCCCAATCCTTGGTGATCACAAGTACTCAGACTGGAATAGGTTGGCCCCTCAGGTAATACTGGTTGTGTTAGTTTTCTGTTACTGTGATAAAACATCATGACCAAGGCAACTCATATGAAAGAGTTTATATTGGCTACGGAGTCAGAGCCCATCACAGGGGGAAGCATGGCAGCTGGCAGCCAGCATGGCGGCAGGAACTGGGTGCTGACAGCTCACACCTCCAATGCAAGCATGAATCAGAAAGAGAGCAAACTGGGAGTAAGGCAAACCTTAAGCTCCCAAAGCCTGCCATCGGTGACATGCTTCCTCTAACACCACCTAAACTTCCCCAAACAGCACTCCAACTATGGACCAAGTGTTCAAATACCCAACACTGTGGGGGACACTTTCAAACCATCATTGGTTTAACTGTCTGCTATTTAACAGATAAGAGAGACAACCCTCCCCCCAGAGGGGTTTTTGTGGTTTTGGTTTAGAGGTGATATTTATTAAGATAATAATCAAATAAATGGCCTTGCCCTTGGTATGTTAGTGCTGAATCCCCTTGGTCTTTTTGAGACAGGGTCTCACTATGTAGGCTGGTTGGCCTGGAAACCCCTTTGTAGGTTAGGCTGGCCTTGAACTCACAGAGATCCACCTGCTTCTACTTCCCAGGGATTAAAAGTGTAGGCCACCATGCCCAGCAAGGACTTTTTTCTTTGTTTTGAAGCAGCATTAGAGTTTATTAATAAATAGTTTTACTAAAGATGCAAACATGGGCCTCAAGAGACAGGGAGAGATAAACATGTTTAGGAAGAAGACATACCCTTGAGTACGTGAGGCTTGTCAAGGAAGAAATGTGACATTTAAGTGTCTTAATAATAACAATATAAGGCCAGGCGTTGGTGGCGCATGCCTTTAATCCCAGCACTCGGGAGGCAGAAGCAGGTGGATCTCTGTGAGTTCAAGGCCAGCCTGGTCTACAGAGCTAGTTCCAGGACAGCCTCCAAAACAATACAGAGAAACCCTGTCTCGAAAAACCAAAATAAATAAATAATAATAATAACAATATAAAAAATAGCAATATATGTGATTTTGGGTGCTGCTAAAACAGCACCAAAACATCTTTTTAGTTATTTTTTTAAGATTTTTTTAATTATATATAGTGTTCTGCCTCTATGTATCCCTGCAGACCAGAAGAGGGCACCAGATGTCATTAAAGATGGTTGTGAGCTACCATGTGGGTGCTGGGAATTGAACTCAGGACCTCTGGAAGAGCAGTCAGTGCTGTTAACCTCTGAGCCATCTCTCCAGCCCCATTGTTCAAAAATGTTTAGAAGATTAAGAAAAAAGTGTTTTGGTAAACTTACTTTTTATTCTTTTGTTAAAACTCTGAAATGAGTCATGACAAAGTATTGTTTCTAGACATGGGAACATACTTCGAGCCTTTAGAGGTATCAGAGTCATTGCTGTCATGGAGCCACACGATATGCTGTCAAAACCTTAGTGGTTCATTTGTTTCCTTTCCCATATTGTTGGGAGGCTGTGATAAGGTAAAAGCTGCCTTTCATGCTATCTAAAAAACCATGGGGAGTCTTTTTTATTAGTTGATAATAGCACCCATTCTCTGGAAGGCCAGAAAACAGAGTTTCTCTGGTATGGTTGTATTTTTCTTACCTAGTTTCTAAGCCCTTCCCAAGTACGCCCCTGTAGCAGGCTAGATGTTACTGGGTATTGCAGAGATTAGCGCAGGCGCCTTTGCTAGTTAAATAAAGACAGGCAGTAGCCGGCTATGCCCTTAAGGATTTGTTTTTGCTTTATGTAGAAACTTTCTGCTGGTACACTAAAGAAGCTGGGACTACACCAGACAAAGACTCGCTACATCCCCCTTCACCTTCATGCCTGTCAGCTCATCCTGCCTGCTCTGGGCTCCAGAACACAGGAACTCCTCCTGGCCTGCAAGCTTCCTCACTTCTTTGCAAATTCTCTTCGTCGTCTGGGTTTAGAGATGCCGAACCAGGATCAAGGCAGAGGCAGTGAGGCCAGGCATGTAGAAGCACAGTGAAGGTGCTGGGCAGGTTGGCCCAGGCCTCTGCTGTATGCCATGAGTCTGCTACCTTCTCACTTGGAACAGACTACAAAGAGCCAGGTGGGGTAAGTTGAAGAAACTTGACCACTTCAGGACTGTCAATGGAGAATGAAGTCGTATTTACTGTCAGTCTGGCAATAATTTGGAAAAGTGATGTCTTTGCCAAGATGGAAGAGGGCCTAGGACCAGACAAATTGGACCAGTAAAGGAGAATCAAAGATGGAATCTGGCCAGGAACTGTCTTCATCCAACCGCAAGAAAAGCTTCTGAGCAATCAGGAGTGCTCCCGTGGGAAGAATGTCTTAGATAAACAAGGTTTCATGGGACTCTTGTCAACTAGAACATGGGTGCCATACTTCCTTAGCAGCGGATCTGTGAAAGAGTTGGTTAGGTGAGGTAAATATGGGCAGATGACCTAAGCGAGAGAAGCTGGTAGAAGGAGTGGCTGGGACAACAGACTAAGCACACAAATTAATGGTTTTTAGCTCCTGCTGATCGTTGCCCTGTGGGCAAATTTTCTGTTTTCTTTTAGAGAACCAGGAAATCCAGATATTTCTATGAAATCTCCCAACCTGTGTCCAACTAAATAAAAACATTCTAAAATATTTTATTATTCTTTGAGATTACAAATATATCATTTCCCCTTCCCTCTTATGCTTCCAGACCCTTCCATATACCTGCCCACCCCCCACTCTGTTTCACATTCATGGCCTGTTTTTCTATGTTAGTGTGTGTGTGTGTGTGTGTGTGTGTGTGTGTGTGTGTGTGTGTGTGTGTGTGTGTATGTTTTCAGGGCTGACCATTTGATACTGGATAACCAATTGGTGTGTTCTTCCCACTGTTTCTCCTAGTCTCAGCATTCCTCAGTTGATTTTAGTTCCTTATACATGTCCACTGGTGTTATCCTTGTTGAGGTCATACTTAGGCAACCATTGTGGTAAGACCTCATGGATGAAGTTTCTGACACTTCTAAGAGACATGATCTCATAGCAAACTCTCTGGCCCTCTCGCCTTCACGGTCTTTCCTCCCCCTGCTCCACAGTGATCCCTGAACCTTAGAAGTAGGAGTTGTGCAGTAGACATGTGAGTTGGGACTGTCTCCACAACTCTATGTTAAGAGAAGCTTTTTCTTTGCTAGCCGCTTTGGTTTATCTCCCGCCAGTTGCCTGGGCTCTGCCGCTTTGTAGTCCCCAAATAAACACACAAGACGCTGTATTACTTATGAAGCTGTTGGCCTTGCTTGTTTCTTACTGGCTAGCTCTGACTTAAGTAATTACCCCATAATTGTTAATCTAAGTATGTTTCTTACCGGAGAATAGTTCCGGGCTTCCTAGCCCAATGGCGTTACATCTCGACTCTCTGTGTTTCTCCTTCCCAGAGTTCTCCTGGACTCCTAGTCCCTCCTATCTTGGTTCCCTGTAGGCTCAACAGTACTTTATTGACATAAGACTTCCCCAACAACTCTACTTTTGATTGGTTGTGGCTTTCTATAGTGATTTTCACCTGTTAAAAAAAGATGCTTCCTTGATGAGGGGTAAGAACACTTCTCTGTGGGTAGAAAGACAAATATTTAGAATGTAGTTAGGGATTATGCTGGTTTAGTAAAGTGACTAAACTAAACTAAAATTGAAGACAGTCAGTGAGGCTGGGGAACGGCATAAGTAAAAGTGCTTGCTGTGCAAACATGCTGCCCAGAGTTTGATCCACAGCGCCCACGTAAATGCCAGGCACAGTAACATACCTAATGCTAAGGAAGCAGAGATGGATCCCTGGGGCTTGCTGGCCAGACAGTTGAGTCAAATTGTCAAGTTCCAGATTCAGTGAGAGACCCTATTTCAAAATGTAGATTATGATAATGTCATCCTTTGGCCTTCACAGGAACATGCACCTGGATGTACATATGCATGCATAGACACACAGATGTACATGCTCGCTTACACACACACACACACACACACACACACACACACACACACTCAGGCAGCTAAGCATTACAGGTTGAATTTAGATTAATAGTTTGAATCTGTTTAAATGAGTGATTTGGAGGTTTAGGTAGAGACATCTTGAAAGTTGTGATTGACATTGCTACTGCATACAATGCTTGGCTTTCTAGACCAGGGATGGCTCTGATTAGTTCATGACTGCTTATTAACAGTGCTGCCGTGTAATAAGTCCTCACTTTGGAAACAGTCTCTTGTCCTTGTTTCTCAAGAAGGAGATGGCCATGCCGAGTACCCTAGAGATGGAAATTTCATTGCCTCCCTGTCAGCCAGCATATCCAGCTCTTATCTCAGTCTTTAAATAATCTTCACACCAATGTTTCTCAACCTGTGTGCCTCAACCCCCTATTGGGGGACAATCCTTTGACAGGTCACCTAAGATCATCAGAAAACAAATATTTACATTATGATTCATAACAGCAGCAAAATTACAGTTATGAAGTACCAACGAAAATAATTTTGTGGTTGGTGGAGCACCACAACATGAGGAACTGTTTTAAAGGACCACTGTTTTGCACAGATGCAACTCATAGTTTGGGTCGAGTGGAAGAAAGTTGGGGTGACAGCACAATTGGGAAAGGCTCCAGGACCAGCTTTTATATGCTCTCCAGGGGGAGGAGCCCCACCTTAGCTGTGGCTTTTATGTGCTCTCCAGGGGGAGGAGCCCCACCTTAGCTGTGGCTTTTATATGCTCTCCAGGGGGAGGAGCCCCACCTTAGCTGTGGCTTTTATATGCTCTCCAGGGGGAGGAGCCCCACCTTAGCTGTGGTTTCATCTTCCATGGTTTTTGTTACCTATGTGCAACCATAAGCAGATTAAGTGGGAATTTTTAGAAGTAAACAATTGATGAGTTTTATGTTATTCATCATTCAGGATGGTGTGATGGACTCTCACCATCTGCTTATGCTACCCGGATGGCGAACGTTCCCTGTGCCAGCAAATGGTGTTTATATACTACCACTCCCCAGTAGTCACTTTAACCACTTGGTAGCTGTGTTATCAGAGTTTATCAGATCAGTCAGCTGACTGTCACAGTGTTTAACATTTTTGAAAGACCTCATTCACTTGTTGTATTACAGTATATTGCTGTGATTGTTTATTGTGCCTAGTTTACAGATTAAACTCAGTTATAGGTAGGCAGAGTAAGACAATGTTTTTATAGGATTTGGTAGTATCTATGGTTTCTTTCTCTTTAACATAAAAAGTTCTGAAGCCAGGCATGGTGGCACACACCTTTAATCTCTCAGGAGATAGAGGCTGGCAAATCTCTGTGTGTTTGAATCTAGAAAGCCTGATCTACAGAGTGAGTTCCAGGACACCCAAGGTGACACAGACAGACCCTGTCTCGAAAAACAAATTGTGTGTGTGAGTATGCATGCACATGTGTGTGCCAGGCACTTGTGTATAGGTCAGGGGACAACAGAGTGCTGGGTGTTGGTGGCGCACGACCTTAATCCCAGCACTCAGGAGGCAGAGGCAGGTGGATCTCTGTGAGTTTGAGGCCAGCCTGGTCTACAGAGCGAGTTCGAGAGTTCCAGGACAACCTCCAAAGCAATACAGAGAAACCCTGCCTCGAAAAACGAACAAACTAACAAAAAAAAGAGGGAGTCAGGGCAGGTGAGAAAAAAATGACCCAATGTGTCCTCATTTATCCTGTTGGTGTCTCCTCAATGGGGACCTCACCCTTTAACTTGTTAAGCTGAATAATTAGTAGGCTGAAAGTACCTGGGACTGTTTACAGTTCTCAGGAACTTTCTCAAGAAGCCGGGAAAACGTGATTAGCTTCAAACAAGGGAGGACCAGGAAGATTGTCCCCTAGGCTAGCACAACCTCAGAGCTGAACTGAGAACTAGCTACAGTGTCTATCCTGCTCAGTATCACCACGAAATGCCACACTGCTGAACTCCAAGATGCTCCCCACAGAGGGCTGTCTTGTTCTCTGTTGCCTGAGTCACAGGGGTGCCTTAACAACCAGAGACCCTGAACAACCTAGTGGCAGTGTGGCTTTTGAGTGGAAGGTCAACAAAGACCATGTGATTTTTAAAAAATTTTTATTTATTTTTATCTTATATGCATTGTTGCTATTGCCTGTATGTATGTATGTGAGGGTGTCAGATTTTGGAGTTAGACAGTTGTGAGCTGCCATGTGGGTGCTGGGAATTGAACCCGGGTCCTCTGAAAGAGCAACCAATGTTCTTAACCACTGAGCCATCTCTCTAACCATGTGATTTTTATCTACTGTGTCATTTAGTCAGCTGTAAAAAGCATGGCTCTCTCTCTCTCTCTCTCTCTCTCTCTCTCTCTCTTTCTCTCTCTCACTCTCTCCCCCTCTCCTTCTCTCTCCCTCTCTCTCTCTCTCTCCCTCTCCCTCTCCCTCTCTACAGGGTTTCTCTACAGGTGTAATAGTCCCGGCTGTCCTGGAATTCAATTCTGTAGACCAAGCTGGCCTTGAACCCACTGAGCTGCCTCTGTCTCTGCCTCTTCTGCCTCTGCCTATGCCGTGCTGAATTCAAAGGCATGTGCCACCATCATCCAGCAAAAGCATGGATTTTAAAAGCAGTTATTTTTAAGATGTGTCTTATAATATTTAAGACATAATATTAAGATATGTCTGTAAGCATTTTGACAGATCAGATGTGATGCACAGGGATAGATTATGGCACTTGGGAGCCAAAGAATACTGAGTGTTACAGCTTGGATAGAAAGGCATTCTGATACTCAGGAGTCACAGAATACTGAGTGTTACAGCTCGAATGGAAAGATTCTGCCACTTGGGAGCCAAGGAATACCACAAGATCAGTAAGCATAGCAGCTTACGGCCCTGCTTCAGGGAAAAGCTTCCCCAATGTATGGGCTCTGCTCTGGCAGGAGAGGGTTTTCCAGCTGGGGATGTTTTCCCAGTGTAGCAGTTTTGCTCCAGCAGAAGGTTTCTCGGGTGAAGTTGCTACAGTTCAACTCTGCTCCTGGGAGAGTGGAGAGAGGAGTTTTTGAGAGCCGTTCTGCCAGGGGAAGGTTTCCCCAGCAAAAGTGTTACAGCCCTGCTGGCTCTGCTCTGCCACAAACGAAGGTCTTCACAGTTTATTGGGAGGGAAGAATCCAGATGAGTGGCTGTCCTCTGCCACAGCCACAAGCTGAACAGACACAGGGTTTATATAGGGCTTCTTAGGGGGTGGAGTTTTCCAAGGTGGGGATTGGTCAAATTTCAATCTCCTGCTCAGGAACTGGCTAGTTTTCTGCACAGGGTTAGGGTCAGATTTGGCTCTGGTTTCAGGGCCAAAGTGCGTTTCTTTCACCGGTCCTTTTTAGTCTTTTGCTTTAGTTTTAGGGCCAGGGTGCATTTCTTTCACTGACTCTGATTCCAGGGACAAAGTGTGTTTCTTCAGCACTGGTTTCAGGGTCAGAGTACATTTCTTTGGTTCTGGTTGCAAAGCCAAAGTGTGTTTCTTTGGCTGGACCCTTTTCCCTACAATGGATTTGGAACCTGGTGGAGTAGTTTGAAGCAACCACTGGGTGCCAAATGCTGCAAGTTGACAAAGTGAAATACTAGGAGTCCGCAGACATTCTCTGCAAATGACCAGGTAGCAAATGCTTTAGACTTGGCAGGT